CAAAGACCGAGCTTAACTCAAGTTTGGTTCTGATGTATCAAAAGCTAGAACTATTAACAAAGGAGAAATTTGAACTGAAAAAATTTAACTTTCTCCACAATGCATATTTTCTGCGCATTTGAAAACAGAAAAAAACACTACTCCATTTGGTGATTGATGGGTCCTCAGCCATTACTGCATGAGCTGCGTTACAAGAAGCATAAAAACACGATACAAAAACGATGGTTTGCTCTAGCGTTGGCAGCATATGGAGCAACGTGGTTAAACGTGAGGTAAGGTATTCGCGCTAGATTTGCTGTTCATTCCCTTCGGTATCGAGGGTCCTACATAAATTGGTAAGATTAGATTGCAATCCCAGAGTGTTCAGTATTCAGCATGTCAGACGGAAACATCCTCACACGAAAACAACAACCCAACCTTACCTAACCCTACCCATCCCGATGCTAGGGTAAAGGTGGTCAGGTCAGGTTAGGGACAGGATTATTGGTTAAGGGAGGGCTGTGGAGTAACGCGGTTGTGGAATGAGTCCGCGAAGAGTCAGCTTATGTTCGGTCGTAAAGAACTGCTTTGCGATTCAGCGATTCCAGCAGTTCCAGCAATTTCAGAGATCCTGGGAATCGCGCCCAATTGCGGAAATTGCAGTTGACAAGTAAGTGTCAAATCGCAAAGTCTGACACCGGCCATCAGTCGCTGGAAAATAACACCACAAGAAGCTCTGAGTAGCCGCTCTGCCCAAAATATCCTGGTGAAAGTTGAAATCATTTGGTTCGGCAGCGCACATATCAGCAATCCAAAACAAGCACAAATGATTTGTTTTACCTAGCAGAGACGAAGAAAGTAAAAAAATAACTATGTCGAAGATCACATCAGCCAGTATCGACAGTAAAACACTCACCGGATCGCCTTCGACAACCTTGCCTTCACTATTCCTTACAACGTTGATCATAAAAGCTTGGAAATGTGATTATCAACACTGGACCCTGTTCCATCATCTTTCCAGATACCATCTGAAAATAAAATCTCATAGAAATCGTATGAAAAGGGACAGAAAACGAAAATCCCGAGTGAATCGGTGACAAACGAAATAAATAGATGAAAAATCGTCAACCAACCTCTACTTTACTAATGTCGATAATGCGACTATCCTTCGTACTGAACTTGATCTTCGCGTACTCTTTTATGACAGTTGACAAAGCAACAAAGGCCTGCAATGTCACAGTGTTCCATGATCCTGCTTAATCTCGACAATATTTGACAATATTTTCCAAAAAGACAAGGGCAAATTTCCAAGTACAGTTTCGGATTTCGACATCTAATGGTTTGCCTCCATTTGAAAAAAAAGTGAATCAGATGTGCATAGTGATTATTAAGTGTAAAAATCAACATCAGTGAAGCTACTGCGATGGAAAACTTGAAAATTCCATTTGAAGGGGTGATCAAACTTGAGATTGGGGAAGGTGTATGGTT